TCTCATCACCTCCCCTTTCCATCATAACAGGTTGTTCTTAATATGTCAGTAGTGGCAGGTGGGTTGAGTTAGGGAGAAAAATCACATTTAAAATGGGAATATGGCCAGCAGCCATTAAGAATAGCTTGTGTCGTGTGTTAAATGACAGCTGTCGTGACAAATAACCAATATTTGTCGGCCTTGGGCTCGTTTTGAGCCAGTTGCGCTTACAAATACAGCGGTAATAAATTGCAATCTGGAGCCATTTAGGTTAATGAATTATTTCTGCCGGGCAAAACTCGCTAATGTCCCGTCATCAACTTCAGGACGAAGAGAGTCACATTGCCTACGGTGTCGCTCAAGTCACTTAAATTACAAACTCTCAATGAAAATGAATGGCTCCTGTCTGGTTCATCAGTGTGAACTCCGCTTAATATGTGTGTTAGTGGGATTTTGCACCAATGAGATTTCACTTTGGATGTAGAATATAATGAAAACATGACATGATATGATATATAACATATGATACTGCTGAATTAACATGAAACTGCATTTATCACTTGTTGCTGTGACCCTTTTTACTCCTAGTATCAAGATCTGTCTCAAATGATCAGTTCTGCAAAAAATGTTGTTCTTCCTCAATATTTCTGTCTTGTTATCCAGTATAAATATCTAAGCATTCTTAAATCAAGATACATTTAATGTTTTTTTTAATTTATTTACTGTAAAATGAATGAGATTAAGCCTTGTTTTTTGAAACTTTTATCATAGATATATCTGGCAATGTGGTCAAGAAAATAAACTGAAATCAAAGGGGAAATAAGTGTATTTTTATGACCCTAGTTTGAACTGGAGCTTTCGGAAAAATACAGAGATCCCGACGTCGGTGACGGTGACCTTATAGCTGGCTACGGCCACACGCACACACACACACTCACATATATATTGGCAATCAACTAAAAAACTTGTAATCGGTCTATATATATATATATATATGTAGAGAGAGAGAGACGTCTCAGGCATTGATCTGCAGCGTTCCTCTACCTGTTATCCCTCTCTCTTTCTCTCTCTCTCCCCCTTTGAGCTGTGACATTTTCGTTTCCCTGGAGACGGACTGTGCCAGGCTGTTGCCATAGTAACAGTGCTCTTTAAGAAGCCGGCGTGCCCGTCCCTCCTGCCGGGCGATGGAGCAAACGAACACCTGCTGGCTTTCTGCTAATTGGCTGTTTCCTTTTCTCTTTCACTCCCACTTTTTTATTTCCCGCGGTTATTAACTTATTAAGAATAAGCTGTCTGTGATACTCGCTTTCCTGTTTTCTGTAACGCTTGCAGAACATTTATTTAGCATAGAGTTATACTAATATGCATGTTGTACAAAACATTAACTGTTTTTAAGTGTGTTTTTAGACAGAATAGAACATTAAACACAGTCTATATGTCATTTATTTAATTTAAAGTACTTTATTTTTTAAAGTACTTACTGCCACCAACTGTCCAAAGTTTCACTGACATTATGTTAATAACTTTTGAACCGTAAGAGCTAGAAATAAAAAGTCCGTTGATTCCTTGGCTCAAGATGAATCACTTGCCCCCTATGATGCCATTTTGATTTTCTTTAAAAACCTACTTTTTCAGACTTTTATACCATTGCTCCACTTTTCACAAAAATGTAATCAGATCATCCTTTGAACGTTTTTCTTTTTCTTTTTTTTTTTTCGGTACCGTCTAAGTAAAGAGATTCAAGTAAATTCTCAATTAACGCATGAACAAATTTGACAAACTTTACGTTAAAATGGATATGAGGCTATATCTCGGCAATGCTTTAGCATTTTGGGATCAAAATTGGTGTGTGTAATGACAACTTTGACTTGAGGTTAAATGCACCGTTTCAGCACAGTGCCACCTAGTGGACATGAGAAATGCATTTTTTTAAATTTTGCTTATAACGTCTGAACAGTTTGACCAAAAATCCCGAGACTGGTCTCTTTAGTTTTGGTGCAGCATGTGTATTGTAATGAAACAGGTGTGACATGGGTCATGCCGAGATCATAGATATAAATTTTGCCAAAGTTGGCCAAACTTCATGGCCTTCATTATGATTTTCTTTTTAAAAAACTACTTCTTTCAAACTCCAATATGTCCAATTTTCACCAAATTCAAGTCAGACCATCTTCAGCCCATGCTGGCAAAGATGTATGGATTTTGTGTCCGTATCTCTGGAAAGATTGAACATATTGACACCAATCTTTATGTGTGTAATAGTCACTGAGCACACCAGATCAATGTGGTGTCAGTGCCACTTATTGGTAAAAAGTGACATTATTCATGGTCTTGCAATCATTTAGTGTGGAAATTTGTTTTCCTAACAAAATTCGAATGAAAATTCAAATGCTTAAAAATATCAAATAATTAATCAAAGTCTCAAAACAGCGTCAGATTAAAAAATAATAAATCCAAAACTCTTAATATGGTTGCTCAAATGATAAATCAAATATAATTTCCTTATTCGGGAAAGCATGAACTGTATCAAATCAAATTAAAACTCGAATTACAAATAATTAAATATATAATGCAGTGTTAAAATCATGAATCAAAATGCTCTAATTATAAATATACATCGAAAAAGTCTAAATCTTTAAATCGTGTTTTTAGTCGGCTGCTTAATCGCTATATTTATGACTATTATTATTATTATAATATATCTGTGATTCATCAGTTTCCTTCATAAGGAGCGAGCCTGAGCGTACAGCGGCCTATTACCGTCTCTGAGCATATAGAGAAATCATCATTACACCGCGTCAGACGAGTGGCTCATTTCAGCTGCCGACACTCCAGATAAAGTCCAGGATGGATTCATTTTCTCTCCTGGATTCATATTCTCAGTCCTCACCCCGGGATCGCTGTTGCGTGACACCTCTCGACAGGTGAATGGGCGAAATTGCTTGTCACCTCTCCGCTGAACGACGTGTGAGCGATAGGAAAATGACTGTGTCCGTTAAAATCCCCAGACTCCATCTTCCCTTAGTCCGTTTTCAATTAAGCCGGCGAGCGAGCGCTGCGTGTGTTTGTCCCTGATAACACTGCAGCTGTTGACCTGAGAGACATCGATTACAATTATGAAAACTTAACGTATCATGAATGTAACAAAAAGTGATTTGCGCGGCGCTGTAGGAGCGCCAGGCGGGGGCTTTGAGAAACAGGTGCTGCGTGTAGAAAGACATTTAAACAGGTCATGAATGTTCATTTCCGAACTTTTAAACGGGAAACGCAGAAAAGACTGAGAGACAAGCATTTCAAACACACTTCTTCACATTCGCATAATTTTCAACATATTTGTGGACGGATGATCAAGCTTGTCACTAGATACGGATTTACAGGTGAAATTTGTAAGATTAGAATATGGTGCAAAAGTTTCAGTAATCAGTAATTCAGTAATTTCAGTAATTCAACTTAATAGGTGAAACTAATATATTTTTATTTATAATTAACTTTATTTATAATTTTGATGATTATGACTTACAGCTTATGAAAACCCCAAATCCAAAATTAGAATATTGTGAAAAGGTTTTCAAGCCGTAATCATGAAAATTATAACAAATAAAGGCTTGAAATATCTCACTTTGCATGTAATGAGTCTATACAATATAGTTTCACCTTTTGAGTTACTGAAATAATATAATAAAATAAATAATAATAATACTGAAATAAATAAATAAATAATAATATTATATAAATATAATAATAATAATAATACTGAAATAAATTAAATTTTGCACAATAATCAAATTTTTCAAGTTGTATCTGTATTAACCTGAAGTAAAAAACTTGAAGCGAATGAAGTAAAATAAATATTGAGACTGTATTAAGGAAAAAATACTGTATGAATGGTGTTTGGTTACAATGATCTTATAATTATTATTGTCATAATTATTATAACTGTCGATTTGGCCTGAGGAATCTCAGAGTTTCAGATGATAAGATTATTTTGTGAAAACAAATTTGCAAAAGGTATACCAATTCAAATGTCTCAATGTGAACATTCCTTCCATATAATATGTATTAATAATCAAACATGTCTAGAATTATTGAGTCATTAGCCATTTAATGTCCTCTCAGCACAGAAAGCTCCAGGGTTATCATTCTTCTAGTTATTTTCCTGATTTACAAAATATGACACTTTGTAAAGTTGTTGATCTCATCTAAACCTTCAAGGAGACAAATGTGAGCACTTTAGAGTCTTTAAGAGACACATAGCAGTGTGAGATACTTTAAAGGAGACACGTGTGTGTGTGTGTGAAGAGTTTGTTGTTAATCTGAGAAGCAGGAGACTCCATTTGGTGTTAAATAACCTTATTTCTGTCTAACATTTGCGATGTTGAAGAGATCTCACTTTAGAGTTGTCTATACACTGTAAAAAGAAAAGGTGCCTGGAGGAACCTTTTGGGGTTCTTCACTTTGCCACGCCGGCGGAACCGTCTGTAGATCCTCTAAGAACCCTTTAAAAAAGGGACAGTTCTCTGAGGAACCACCCAGGTTTCCTGAGGAACTCTTATATTAGGCACTGCATGGAACCGCTTTGGGTGCTTCCAGGAACCATTTTTTATTTATTTATGTATTTATTATTATTATTTCATGTTGTTACTATGGTTAGCATTAACTTCTATTATTATAAACAAACTGAACCAAATACAAGGTAAGAATTGTTTATTAAATTTTAGATCCATTTTAATACATACACTTCCATGCGCTCGGGAAAAAGAAGCTAGTAATAGATTATTCATTGATATTAATCTTAGATTAATATCAATGAATAGAATACACAAACAAATAGTATAATACATACTGTAAGCAACATGAATAATCAACAATGTACAGTATATACAATAGGGTATACAAGAAAAGACATCTCAACAAAATGCATGGAAACACATCACATTAATAATTAAAAAAAAAACAATTAAGTTAAGTTGTGTCAATGGACTTTTTTTGCCTGTGTAATTTCACAAATTTGACCACACCTTTACTTGCTGAAACATAAAATGCAATCATTAATAAAATCTTAACAAGGGACATGTGAGGTTAACGAGTTAGAACAGTACAATTTTCCGTTTGTTTTTCCTCTTTACTGGTGGATGGTCCAGGCACTTCTATGATTTTCAGGTCTACAGGAGAATTATTTTTCTTGTTCAAACTTGTATTTCAGCTTACCGAGGTGCCTGCAAAGAACCAAAATTACTGTCAGCAGTGTTATTAAAGTGATAGTTGTGAACTGAAAATAATTTCCTTGTGACATTCCGAACCTGTTTGACTTTCTGTCTGTGGAACCCAAAAGCAGATCTCAGGCGTAATGCAACCACAGTCATCATTCAGTTACACTGCAGGAGACAAGCAGAACAAAACTGTGTAAATCATTCATGAAACCATTATTATGTACACTTGTTTAGTTCAATTCAATGCAACAATTTATGTAAAAATGGTTAAATATTGTGTTAATCTCCAAAAATGTCACAGAAAAGATCATAAAAATATGAAAAATTAAATTGAAAAATTGGTCCACAACTAATGTGTTATGAGTTGTGTTGCAAGTTTTCTGAAGCCATATAATAGCCTTTGTTTTTTGTCTAAAAAGACTACAGTTCGATTTTTTTTATATTCAAATGCAAATGATTAAAGGGGAAATGAAGCAGTGAATCAAGTTTACATGATTTACAAGATGGATTTCCAATATAATCAACAATTATATAAGAAACATTACAAATGTAAACATTTAGAAAAAAAAAGGAAAAAACTTTGTATCTTTCGCCGCCAGGGCGCCGCCATTGTGCAGTTGACGTCACGGGGTTGGTTGGCTCAAGTTTAACAGGCTCTGGGCACTGAAAATCGCGACATCAAACTGTGTTTACACCAGTGTTTTGACCGCGAACGACTAATGTTAGGTACAGTCATTAGACAAAAAGACGACTTCTCATGTTATATGTTGACAAACTGCACATAGAAACATTGTTCGCGATGTTTGCCGTCAGATATTCCCGTCTCGTCAACATGTAAGTTAGCATGTAACGTCCATATTTTCGCAGTGGTAGTGCTAGTAGCTACAGCCTACATACTAGAAAAAAGTGTCTCCGCTCTGGTAAACGTGCGCGCCGGTGATGCAGAATTGACCACGCAACACATGCTCAAGATCAACCTCTTGACAACAGATGGACTCTGACACGGAGGGCATCGAAGTAACGCTACAACAGCCACACTGACACCTGGTAAGTTAGCGTTGCAAACCTGCTCTTCGCCCCAAACCACCACCGGCTGTTCTACACAGCAACGTAACTTAACGTTACATGGTGATGACGAGACGGGAATATCTGACAGCAAACATCGCAAACAATGTTTCTATGTGCAGTTTGTCAACATATAACATTAGACGTCGTCTTTTTGTCTAATGACTGTACCTAACATTAGTCGTTCGCGGTCAAAACACTGGTGTAAACACAGTTTAATGTCGCGATTTTCAATGCCCAGAGCCTGTTAAACTTGAGCCAACCAACTCCGTGACGTCAACTGCACAATGGCGGCGCCCTGGCGGCGAAAGATGCAAAGTTTTTTTTCTTTTTTTTCTTCTAAATGTTTACATTTGTAATGTTTCTTATATAATTGTTGATTATATTGGAAATCCATCTTGTAAATCATGTAAACTTGATTCACTGCTTCATTTCCCCTTTAAGGAACTGTATAAGAAAAAATGTATATAGAATTATTGGAGCCAAATCGGTGATGTAATTTTTCTGAGTGACATGAATGAGATTTAAGAGCCTGAAAGAATATTTTCATAGAATAACTGATTAAAAAACACAAGTAAGTCACAGTCAAACAAAACAAATTCACACAGAAAAGTTCATAGTAATAACGTACTTGTAGTGTGGTGCCGGTAACTTCCTCCTGTAATTCAATGTAGCCTCTGAAATGTTCAGATGATTTTAGAAATGCAGTGGTTCTTCTGAGGAAACAAAAGAACAAAGTTGATTATATCCATTCACAACATAATAATTATTGGCCAGTAAAAGGCTTTAAAATGGTTTTTGAAAGAATCAGGGCACCTGTAGTAGGCTAGCAGCTAAATAAACAAAAACAGACCAAACTAACGCCTATCCACTTGTTATTCATAACGCAAATGACGACAGTCGACAGCAGGAATTAGCTATTAATACGTTATATCATCAATTTGAAGACACAGTTGTGCAGAATACATTTAAGTGAATGACTAAAACAATCTAAGACAATAAGTCAATGATTTTCATTAGTTAGCGTCGCGGCTCAAACCTTCATACCACATAGGTAGCCTATGTGCAATAAACGAGTGGTAAACTCTGTAAGAACGCGTGTTTTAGTTTGTATGTGTTTGAATATATAGTGAATAGACTCAGTATTTATATTTCTTTGGCGAGTTTACAAACCTTGTAACGGAGAGCCGAACAAACAGCTGAAGCTTTGATGAGAGGAGCCGTTACTTTCAAATCCGACGACGATCAGCTGATCTGTGTTGCGCGCGACGCGCAAGCAGCGCGAGGTTCACTGAAGCGATAACAGCAGATGAATAGCAGCAGTTTCGTTACAGAATAAAACTGTTCTCTTCCTTCTTCTTCTTCTTCTTCTTCTTCTTCTTCTTCTTCTTCTTCTTCTTCTTCTTCTTCTTCTTCTCATATTCATATGATCATATTATCATTATAATTATTATTAGACATACTTATTTTTTGTCGTTGTTTAAGTTTTAAATGAATCAATAAAATAGGCCAATACTAATTAAATGTAAGTATACTAGCTGCATCAGAATTATAATTTTCGAAATATATATATATATATATATATATATATATATATATATTAAGTATAACAATACTTAAGTATAACAATAATAGGATAATAATAGTATTATTTAATTATTTTAATTATAGTATTATATCATAGTATTATAATAGGAGAATAATTGTATTCTGGACTCACAGAACCATTAGGTTCCTCCAGATGCTTACTTTAACATAAGAGATCTTCCAGGAACCACTTAAATTTTAAAAGATCTTACAATAACCCTTTTATAGCATTCAAGTTCCTCTAATTTCCCCCAAAGCACTTCGAGGTCTCATGGTAGTGAAAAGGTACCTCCAGAACCTCTGAAATTAATACAAAGTGCTTCAAGGATCCCATAAGTTCCAGCAAGAACCGCTAAGATTGTCAATGCTCCTCCAGTAACCCCAACTCTATGAGAAAGAGCTTTGAGGCACTTAAATTGTGTTTTTAGGTTCCTTGAGTATCCGACAGGATATTTGAGGCACCTTTAGTTTTTACAGTGTAGACCTTATTCAGAGCAGCGCCATGACAGGTATGAAAGTGAGGCTGTGAGGGATAGACTTACCGTGTTTCCAATGGCATGGACCGTAAAAAGCTGAATAAAGCGGCTAGATTACTTACAATTTTCCACAGCTTACATTGTCGGGAGGTTTTTGTCAACTGACATTTCTTTGAAAGATATTTTTCCAGTGTTTCATGAGCAGAACAATCCGAAAACACATTAAATAACAATACAGCCCATTGAAGAGATGCAAGTCTATCCCTCACAGCCTCGCTTTCATTCTCATTAAAAATCAAAGATGGCGCTGCCGTGAATAAGGCGTATTTAGCGTCTGTTTATTTTGATCGTGCAAAAGTTATAAAACCCCAAATTCAAAATCTCATAACATTAGAATATTACATTTAAAATAAAAGGGTTAGAAATGTTGGCCCTCTGAAAAGTATAATCATGCATATGTACTTAGTCATATATACTAAATATTCACCTTTTATTTTGAATTACTGAAATACATGTTGCATGATATTCATATTTTTCGAGTTTCTCCTGTATTTTGGTGATCGTCGGGAGCCGAAATGGAAATGTAATGAATTGCACAGCTCTATTGTGTACTTGGTCCAGCTCTGAGTGTGTGTGAGCCGGTGATGCTCGTGAGATTGGGTTTCTGACTGTGACTGAAGAGCAGGACTTCATGAGTGTGTGTGTGTTCCTCAGGCTTCAGTGACTCACGTCTTTCTCACTCGGACTATATTTGTCCCTGCAATCTCGGGTGGAAAGTGCCGGTGTAAAAGCGTTCCTGATGTTTAAATATACTCGGTGTTATTCTGGCGCCGGCTGTGTGACGGAGGATCTGTGCCAGCGCAGGTTTCTGCTGAATCAGAGGCCAGTCTTTAATGTTTAGACCTGAAGTTTATTTTAAAGTGCCCCTATTATGCTTTTTCGGATATTCCCTTTCATGAAGTGTGTGTGAAAGTGAAAGTAAAAGGTGCAGATAGATTTAATCTCCCAAAAGAAAGACGTGATTGTCAGTAATTCAGTCTCGCTTCCCACGTGGGTTTGTAACTCATTGTGGCTCAGTGGTTCATGTAGGTTGTCTACAAACCGGAAGGTTGGTGGTTCAATCCTCAGTTCCACCTGACCAAGTGTCCATGAGCAAAACACCTAACCTGACTGACACCACCGTCGGTGTATTCATGAGTGAGCGAATGGGTGAATGTGAGGGTCTGTGAACGTGCTATATAAATGCAGTCCATTTACCATTAGCATAACGCCAGCCTGTGGTGTTGATTGGCTGAGCAGCGTCTCTTAGCTCCGCCCTCAAACACTAGTGTATCTGAGACTGGTTCGTGTTGTTCGTGTTTTCTGAGATTGATACGGTGAAACCCACGCCATCGTTACTGTTCGTATCACTGTGATCAAAAGCTGAGATTTTGATATGATAATGAGCGTTTGGATTATCCACTCACAGCAGTGGGCGTTTACTTCCAAGTCTTCAGTGCGAGACGCCCATAACTCAAATATAGGCTCAAAATAGATTATTACTTATTAATTTTGATGTTTTTGAATGCAAAAACCGAGCGAACGTCATAAGTTGACCTCAGACAACAAAAGCCGGTTCATGACCCCTTTATGCGCAAGAAGGGGACGCACACACACACGCTCGCAGGGGGGATGGTACGACCGTTTGATTGGCGCACAGACTGTCCAATGATTCTAGGTGGTCTTGAAAATGATTGGCTGGAGTTTTTCGAGTCTTGCCCGTTCCACAGATGATTCAATTGTTTAATTTTCAGTTCAGTGCTTCTAACTCAGTGGCTGTAAGTGGGTTAGGAACAGGATTTCAAGTGATTTTGAAAAAATGCTCAAAAAAAGAAAATTACATACCCCACCTTTAATTGATGATACTCCTTTTGGAACTGGAAAAACTGAATCTATTTTGTAATTTTAATAATTAAATGATTTTGTTACTTATTTAATGTTTTATCATTTATTTTACAGGTGAAACTCGAAAAAATTAAAATATTGTGCAAAAGTTAATTTGTATTTCAGTAATTCAACTTAAAAGATGAAACTAATATATTATAAAGACTCATTACATGCAAAGTGAGATATTTCAAGCCTTTATTTGTTATAATTGTGATGATTATGGCCTTACAGCTATATAGAATTATCTAAAATTAATAGGTTTTCATAATCTGTAAGCCATAATCATCAAAACTATAACAAATAAAGGCTTGAAATATCTCACTTTGCATGTAATGAGTCTATATAATATATTAGTTACAGAATTTTAAGTTGAATTACTGAAATAAATGAACTTTTGCACCATTTTCTAATTTTTTGATTTTCACCTGTATTTACATTTGTCTTTGCCCAGAGCATGATGACATCTTCCTCATCCTCTCAGGAGTGTGACGTTTGCAGGACAGACTGGCGTGTCTCTCCTCATTGTTTAGCGTCTTTAGCCCCGTGCCTCTTCCTCTGTGTTGAACACAACCGCGTCTCGGCTTAATCCGTGTCATTACCGCCGCACGCCTGCAGATTTACATGTGCTTTCACGCTTCTGCGTAGACGTACTGTTTATTTTTAGCCTCCACGGCTAATTAGCGTGAACTGGAGCAGATCCGCCAGTGCAAACAGCGAGCATTAGCACTCGCGCGCTAATAAGAGCGCGACCGAACGAGCAACCGTGAAATTTCATCTGTGCTTGGCATGTTCTCTCAGGACGGATGAGCGGGAAACACAAACCATTACTCGCATTGCAATAAGATCTTCTTCATGTTTTATTGGTCACTATTGTAATATTAATATTGAAAGTGTCATACAGTATCATTTTACTGATTTTGAATGTGGCAATCACAGTATATATATACAGGTGAAACTTAATATCATTCATTTATTTTGGTATTTAAACTTAAAAGATGAAACTAATATATTATATAGACTCATTACATGCAAAGTGAGATATTTCAAGCCTTTATTTGTTATAATTTTGATGATTATGGCTTACAGACATGAAAACCCTTTCACAATACTCAAATTTTAGATATTTTTTATATCTGTAAGCCATAATCATCACAATTATAACAAATAAAGGCTTGAAATATCTCACTTTGCATGTACTGAGTCTATATAATATATTAGTTTCAGCTTCTAAGTTGAATTACTGAACTTTTGCACAATATTCTAATTTTTCCAGTTTCACCTGTATATACACAGCACACACACACATATATACACTGCCGTATATTGGGATTGGTATGATCTTTAATCTTTTTAAAATATGAAATCAAACTTTCCATTCATTAAAGAATCTGTGTTCAACACTGATAATAATCATAAATGTGTCTTGATCATCAGATCATCATATTAGAGTGATTTCTGGAGGATCATGTGTGACTGAAGACTGGAGTAATGATGATAAATTCAGCTTTGATCACAGGAATAAATTTCACTTCACTATATATTCACATAGAAAACAGCAGATTTACACTGGAATAATATTTCACAATATTTCTGTATTTTTTTTGTATTTTTAATCAAATAAATGCAGGATTGGTGAGCAGAAGAGACTTATTTTAAAATCATTAAAACCAATCCCAAACTTTTGAACGGCAGTGTGTGTATCTATATATGTATATGAAGAGTTCAGATGCAAAAGCCTCTAAATGCCATTTGAAATTTTCTTCTTTAATGATGATTTTTATCAAGCTTGTTTATTTAAGTTCAGTAATTTCACTTAAATGGCAATGATAATTACCTATTAATTGTTATTTAAGTGAAATTAATGAAATAAAATATACAAGTTTGATAAAAAGTCATCATTAAAGAACAAAATTTCAAATGGCATTTAGAGGCTTTTGCATCTGAACTCTTCATATATATAAATGTGTGTGTATGTATATAATGAAGTGTCTAATATGAGGCATTACACCCATTTGCAGTCGGCCGCTTCGAGGCGTCTCCTCTCGGATGTTCCCGCTCGATGAGGCCGTTTCCCTGAATGGCGCTCGATCATGTTTCTGGCCTGTCTGTGGGAGAATGAGACATTAAGGTGGGCATCTGGGGCCGTCTCTGTCTGTCAGTCGTGCTCCATAAACCCGCACGAGGTGTCACGCTAAAATATGTCCCCTCATCTGTTTCAGATTTATTCTCGCTGCTCTTTGTTTGGTCCTCATCCGTAACCATAATGCACCTGGCACGCTCCGGGAAGCTCGGGGACGAAGCGTCTGGCGGCGGGAGAACGCGTTACGCGACACACACTGATTATTCGTCACGGTGTGCGCATTGAGACAGGAGACGCTCGCTAACGTGTGTGTGTTAGTTTGGGGTCGAGGTGTTTCTATCAGCGTAGATTATAATCATCCGCTCACGGTGAGGAGAAGACGATCTCTCAGTAATAATAAAATCATCAAACACTTTCAGAAGTGTTCAACTCAGCTAGTGTTATTTCGGATGAAACCTCTGTTAAAGTTCAGTGTGTGTTTGTCAATGATTTGGCATGTCTGACTTTTTTTTTTTTTTAGTAAAACGATTAATCGCATCCAAAATAAAAGTTTGTTTACATAATATAATCTGTGTGTACAGTGTATATAAATACACACACACACATTCATGTGTATATATTTAAGAAATATTTGCATGTATATACTGTACATATATTTATACTTAATTTATATCATGTATAAATAAATAAAAATTCTTAAATATATACATGCATGTGTGTATTTATACAATATAATTATACACGCATATATTATGTAAACACAAACTTTTCTTTGCGCTTAAAAGTCATACAAGCAAAAAAAACATGACAATAAAAAATAAAAGTGTGTTTATATAATTTATGTGTGTGTACTGTGTAGGGCTGCAGCTATCGATTCTTTTTGTAATCGATTAATCTAGCACTTAATCGATCGATTAATCGAGTAATCGGATCATTTGTTTGTGTGTTTTTAAGCAAACAAAAACAAATAATGTATTACGAAAATGATAAGGTGTTTGGCTTTTATTTCCTTAAAAAAATAGAGGTATTTATTCCAACTGCAACATTTGGCTCCACAACTAATTATTGCAATGTTTACTCATTTAGTGTTTATAAGTGCCAGTGCCAACAATTATATAACAATATAGTTAAAACAATTTACTGTAAAACCTGTTACATGTAGCCCATAACATGTACAACTTTGAATACAAACTTAAATAGTAAAGCCCATTTGGCCTTAGTTTTGTCTTCTTAATACAACATTACAAAAAAAGGATTGCACCTTATGCAAATTATCCACCTGGAAACAAAAATAAATTAATATAAAATATCAACCCAAACAGGCACACAAATGTGTACAATTTATAAAAAAAATAAATGGAAATAAAACAATTATAAATAAGAATCAGACTTTTTCAACTGTAATCTCAAGACAAACATCAGAGTGTGTGTGTCTGTGTGTCTCACAATATTTGTTCCTCCATCACGTCCCGGTGAATGTATGCTGAAATTTTTGTTGCGTGACTACATAAAAGTTTAAGCATATGATGAATTGCCGCAACTGGTCTGACTGGCGCGTGAGAGAGACATGGGTGCACGCGCTCGCTTACCTCTGCCGTCGTGCGCGAGCCGCAGTTAGGAGCTCAACATCTCGCATGCGCGCTCGCACTAGATTACAGGATATTTTAACTTGCGAATTAATATGCGGCGGTAAAACTAGTCGATCACGAGTGGCTCAACAGGTAGATCTATAGACGAACTCATCTTTCAGGCATTTGACCGAAGGGATTGACACTTCAGCGTGAGAAATCGAGTTGCGCGAGTCTCACGCTGAATGCGTGAGAGTTGGCAGCCCTGCCAGGTATACTTTGCAGACACATTGCATCTTGTTCTCTCCCTTTATAAACATATAATGATCCCAAACTTTAGACATTCTCTGCCAGTCAAATGTATCATGCGCTATGGTGTGCTTCCTGAATAACGGTCCGTGTGAAACAATCAGATCCCTGCGTGCGCGTAAAGTGCGCGTCATAGGAATTTAACGAGGCTTCGAGGCAGATCTTTTGCCTCGAGGAATTTTTGTAATCGAGTAACTCGAGGAATCGTTTCAGCCCTAGTACTGTGTATAATTATTTTGTGTATATATAAATACACACATGCATGTATATATTTAAGAATTTGTATTTATTTATATATAGTATAAATCTATGTACAGTATGTGTAATCTAAGTCTAAGTAAGTGTGTGTGTGTGTGTGTGTTTCGAATCCTGAGACTTATTACTGTCTGTAGACTGAACACACACTCATGAACTCGAGAGAAAGAAAGGAGGACCAACAGGTAGTTTGCATGAAAGAACGTTGGGCTGTTGTTGGGCAGGAGTGTGTGTGTTGTTGTCAGGCAGGAGTGTGTGTCTGTGTGTGTGTGTGTGTGTGTGTGAGTGAGTGTGTGTGCTGTTGTTAGGCAGGACTATGGCTGATGTAATCCGCTGTAACATTTCTCCAGTCGTGCGCTGCACTTCACACACACTGTCACGTCTGTAATGCAATTTAACTTGAGCCTTTCGTCAAACACACACACACACACTTTTCTTCTGCTTCAAGTTGTGTTTAAAGCGCTGTCCTCTATGAGATCTTCATTAGCAGAGGATGTTCAGCGCTTCTCCACACACACACACACACACACACACACACACACTCAACAGCTCCTCCCTGAGGTTCAGCCGCGTCTTCATGCGCTCACGATTTACCGATGACCTTTCCGTCATTGAATTAGGTCGGACGATGAGGAACGAGTGGAACACACACACACACACACACACACGTCCCTCACCTCCATCACCGCACTTGAGGATGTGATTTTAAAACTATTGGCGTTTGTTTGCTGGTTTAATTAACTGATATCTCGCCTCATTGAAGCTGTAATGACTTATTTATCCTCGAGTTTAAATATTTCTTCATGTTCTTTGAGTCGAAACACAACATGAGCGGCGATGAAACCAGCAGCGTTTGGCACAGGAGTTCATCAGGGATGAGTTTGCTTATCAGACTCGGGTTATCTACACACTACTGAAGGGTTACGCATTTCAATGTACAGTTTGGAAAAACGTATTATTATTAAAAAGAAATAAGAAAAGTTGAAGAGTTCAGATGCAAAAGCCTCTAAATACCATTTGAAATTTTCTTCTTTAATGATGATTTTTATCAAACTTGTATATTTAAGTTCAGTAATTTCACTCAAATAACAATTAATAGGTAATTATCATTGCCATTTAAGTGAAATTACTGAACTTAAATATACAAGTTTGATAAAAATCATCATTCTAGAAGAAAATTTCAAATGGCATTTAGAGGCTTTTGCATCTGAACTCTTCAGTTATAGCAGATATATGCTTTCGATATTATGCTTCTTACAGACGGCAATATTATTATTATCATTCCTCTTTTGAAGACTTTTTACATTTTATTGTTATTATTTATCAAATGTATTTTATTATCAATTACATTTATTTTAAATGCATGTCTTATTTCTTATTAATTCTAAATTATTGTCTTAATAATAATAATATTTTGAAGTCTAAGTTATATTATTAGTTGCCACTATTAATTTTAAATGTATATATCTGCTAAACTGTTCTTATTATATTATTATTATTATTATTAGAGATGATAATAATAATAATAATAATGTTGCAGTCTGTAATGATTGATTTTCATATATTTATTATTGTTTTGATGACTCATATTGTACTGTCAAACTGTTTGTCCAATCAGACGACAGCAAGCAGTGGTTGATCCTGAACTTGTTCCAGCCGTTCTCCGTTTGTCGTCCTGATTGCTCATGTTGTTTGAGTGTTTGAGTCTCTAAATCTTTAGTGAAGTCGTTTAGCTGGACATTATGAGCTCTGACGTCAGGACTGGTGTGTGTGTGTGTGTGTGCGTGTGTGTGTGTGTGTGTGTGGTGAGAGAACGACCAGATGTGTGTTTAATGCTGATGAACGATGCAGTCCTTCAGCCGGTGTCTCTCGCCGTGGGTCACACAAAGGTCAGCGTCTCTCCTCTGCATGTGTGATGTCACACACACACACACACACACACACACACACACCTGTATTAACTCTTATTCTGGTGTGGTGTTTGAGCGTTCAACCTGTTTAATAGTGTGTGTGAATATCCGAGTGGACAAACAGAGCTGAAGGCGAGACGAGTGCGGATCCTCGTTCTCCTGCTTTGTTGCACTCGTCACTTTCCATCATGTTCACACTCTCACGAGCCCAGGGGTGATTTAAAACACACACACACACACACAATATGACCACGCACACACTCACTCACACACACACACAGACACTCGCTCACTCTCTGACTCCTAAACGCTCTCTCCCTCACACACAAACACACACACACACACTCACATATGGACACACACATCTCATAAAGCAAGGTTGTCAGATCAGAATGTGTGAGAGTGTGTTGGATCAGGGTGTGTGAGTGTGTCTGTGTGTTGTAAAGTTATCGAGTCCTGCTCAATCTGACCCAAACCGGTGCATGTCTCAGGTGGAGTTCAGAGTTCAGAGTTCAGCAGCTCGAGTGCACTCATTGATCAACACATCTCTCTTTATCTGGGACAGTTCCTGGCGCTCGTGTGGAGATTAGCCGAGGTGAACTCGCTCCTCCGTCCTGATTGGCTGATGTGCTGCTGGTCTTCGGGGAGTCGTCCCAGTTTCCGCTCAGCCAATCACAGTGAGGCCGCAATCTCATTGGCCGCTCAGTTCACCAGTCCAATCGGTGTTTAGATCTCCCAGCATGCGTTGTGGCAGCGTGTCTGTTGTTGTTTGAGTGTGTAAAGCTCCTCTTATCTCATCGTTTGTGTCTCCTTTTCTCTCCTACGTCACAACATTGCAGTAAAACACACTCGGGAGGCGTTTCGTGATCACAAACGTCTGCGAGTTGTCCACTTCATCATCTTTGTGTTATAACTAGAGCTGCACGATTAATCATCGTAAGCCTATCCGAATACATGACGCAAAATGCTGTGATTTTATTAAATAAATAAATTTGCTGTTAACGCATGCAATACATGTTTGTCCTTGAGTTTTACACGTTAAAGGTGCATTATGCAACATTTCATGTTAAAAATAGCCGTTTTCTATCCCATACATGCGTAAACAATCGCCTGATGTGCTGAATGAGCCCTTCTCTGATCACTGCGATCGCCTCTATAATCCTGTACGGTAAAATAAGGGATTCGTGACTGATTTGAGACTGGGTGTGACGTCATGTATTTAGTTGTTTTATTAACATTAATGACAGACGACAGCAGGAATATTAGGCTACTGTCACTTTAAGACCGAATAAACTGACAAACATCCGCTTTTTTTCTCTGAACTGTTCATTCATGACAGAAGCGAGAGAACACTTGCTGAGACGGGCCTTTAGACATAAGTGTGTGTGTAAACACGGCCTTCGGGT